AAAAAAAATATCGATATAACCAAATTCTCGTAATTCATAAAGCTAAACTTGATGAACAATATCATAATAAATTAGATAAGGAATCAAGTCATGTGATTAGGAACCATTAAGAATCCAAAGAATTTAGAATTTTTAAATGTCACATAATTCATATGAGAGGATAAAATTTTACGTATAATTGATTAAATTACGTGAATGAAAACATTAACATGAAAAGATTAACTTTTTTAGTACTTCAAAAGACGCCCCACTTAGAATGGCCTTTTATGGTAATCAAGGGACGCCTCATTTCTTAGCTCTGCCACTCATTTTTATGACAAAGAATTAAATATTTACCCGAGTAATCTGATCCTGATGTCATTAATATTCAGATATCCCAAATTTTAGCACAAATTTTTTATGAAAAAAGATTAATTCATTACTATCGTTATGATATAATAATAATGGTAAAAATTCTATACTTTTCCATTAGCAGGCGACAATCCCGGTTTTCAAAAATTCGAGGTATTACAACTAGATTATTAACTTTTATAGTTTCAAACCTTCGAAATGACCAGAAAATTCCGCAAATTATATAATCCTTAAATTTATTTCCGAAATTGCGTGTGATGTGTGACTTATAGACTACTGATAGACTACTAATAAACAGGCTAATAAACAGGTTAATAAGCAGACTAATAAACAGACTAATAAACAGACTAATAAACAGACTAATAAACAGACTAATAAACAGGCAGACTAATAAGCAGACTAATAGACAGACTAATAGACAGACTAATAAACAGACTAATAAACAGACTAATAGACAGACTAATAAACAGACTAATAGACAGTCTAATATACTGACTAACAGACTAATAGATTAATACTCTCATACTTAACTCTCTCATACTTAACTCTCTCATACCTAACTACTCATGACTACTTATAACTAGTACGCTAATAATATTTGAATCGGCAATATCTCTAATGTTTATCAAATTTGTGTTCAAGTATTAGGTTAGTATTAATTTAAATTTAGGAAATTTAATTAATACAGAATATATGAGAATTTAGGAATTTGAGAATTGGGTAATTCATTATGTCATTAAAGTTGCCAATTACCAATTAAGATATTTAGATATTCTGTTATATATTCTGTCATTTATGGTAAGTTTGGATTTAAATTAAGTCTATAATTAAATTATTAATTAAGCTAGTAGATAGAAATTTCTTTTGTCATTCGTTCATACATACTCTCAGTATATATTCATAATTTAGTATATTACTTTCAGTATATTCATAATTCAGTATATATTTATAATTTAGTATATATTTATAATTTAGTATATTTCCGTATATTTCGGTATATTTCCGTATATTTCGGTATATTTCCGTATATTCAATACACATTCAGTATACGCATTTCAGTATACGTATTTCAGTATACGTATTTCAGTATACGTATTTTAGTATACGTATTTCAGTATACGTATTTCAGTATACGTATTTCAGTAACCGGTAATAAAATAAAATTAATCAAATTAAGCATATATGTACGAACGTACTAGGGTAAATAATATTTGATGAAACAAAGATTAAAAATGATCATGAGCACATAATCCAGAAAAATACTGGAATCATAAGAACTTGGCAATTGAACGAAGGAAAAAAAAGATAAAAAATTCACAATAAACAGCAATCATAAACAGCAATCATAAATAACAGCAATCATAAACAGCAGCAATAATAAACAACAATAATAAACAACCATAATATAAACAACCATAATAAACAGTAATAAGAAAGTAAAGTACGTACAAGGACAGAGACATGCATGGAATAACATGGGATTACCGAATTTTCGGACAGGATTTAATCCTGAATATACGTGTACGTATAAGACGCGGGTATACATAATATCATTATATGGGATATCAAACAAGTCACATGTAGATATTTAATCATCAGATTGCACAATGCTCGAAGCAAAGTTTCACATGGAAATTATCAACCTATGTTGAATTGACAGACGAATAGAGCGACTCTGAACGAATTTGAATGAAATCGGGTTAATTAAACAACTCGTTTAGACATTAAAAAAAAATTTTTTTAATATTTTAATATTATAATTAATAATTTAATGATTTTAGTATTTTTAATTATTAATTAAATAACTTAAATAATGCATAATAATAATAAATAATTAATAATAATGATAATGATAGTAATAATAATGATAATAATGATAATGATAGTAATAATAATGATAATGATAGTAATAATACAATAATATAAATACAATAATATACAATATATAATATAATACTCTAAAGCAATATATAATAATATATATAAAGTAATAATCTAAAGTAATAACCTAAAGCAATAATCTAAAGTAATAATCTAAAGTAATATCTAAAGGAATATCTAAAATAATATCTAAAGTAATATAACACTATTTAGAATTAATAATTGATGATAGACCACCATAAGTCACATCATGAAACATCACCAATCACTTCAAACAGGGTTTTCACACACAATGAAGATTTTAGGCGGGATTTCTTGTAGACAATCCGGGTTAAAAAAGGTAGAATCATTTTACACTTAATATAATCATAAATGTATTAGTTTACATTAAGAAATGATAACATAATACTTTATTTACATATGAAAAAAAAAGAATGTTTCGATAACGTATATTGTTCCTTAAAAGAACGTGTTCACATATCAGATACTCGAAATTCTCTTAAACGAAGGTGAAACAACCTTAACTCTGCTTATGTAAAAGTCCGAAGGGTTTCAATTTATGATAAAATTAAAGAAGGTCATAGCGTGTAGATATCGATATATATCGATATATAAAAAAATATATAAAAAATATATAAATATATATGTGTAAAAAAATATGTGATATATATTATGATCACGAGAGGATCATTTGACGGTTCTATTGTACGTCTTTTTATTGGTGTAAAATGATTGATCCTTGTACGCGAGATTTACTGGCAATCTCTTCAGAAAATGGAAATACTCGCCGAAGAAAAAATAAACCTCTCCTTTTTTGTGTGGAGAAGTCCCTGTCATTCCATTTAATGTCAGTGCGTACCAATTTTTTTTACTGATGTTTACTTTATCTTTCATATATTTTCATATATTTTCATATATTGTCATATATTTTTCATATAAACCATATAGTTTCATTTTCTTTCTTTCTAAGTCTTTTTATATCCGTTTATCTTTTCATATCTTTTTCCATCTTTTTATATACCTTCATATATTATCATATACTATATATTTTTCATATATATTTATATGTTTTTTATACTTTATATTTTCATATATATATATATTTTTATCGTTCTCTATTTATTTATTTTATCATTCGTTATTTATTTATCATTCATCATCTATTATCATCTATATATAATTTTTTATTTGATTATCGGTATTATAATATAAGATGACGAAAAATGCTTGTATGTATACAATAAACCGGATCATTAATTATTTAATTAATAATATAAAAAATTTACATTTTACATCTGCTTTGCTTTGCTTTGCTTTGCTTAAGTGACCGGATAAAATATCATATAAGCAAAAAAATTAATCTTATATAAGATTACATTATCATTTTTTTTATTTTAAAATTACAGGGAAATATTTTTAAAATAAAAAAAAAAAAAGAATGAATAAGATGTAGCGGAAATGCAAATCTTTTAACTATTTTCATGTGTGTGTGACATGAAATTTAGCTTGGGGGTCAATTGTAATAAATCGAATACACGAATATTCATATATTTTTCACATATATATATATATTAAATATATTTATATATATTTGTATTCTAAAAATAAAGTAGTCCCTTACTGCTGTTTTCCGAATATTCTCAATTGTAAATTATATACTTTTTATATTATGAATTTATATTTATGAATTTATATTATTTATTCTTATTATTATTAGGGTTTTTTTTTCTGATATCAGCATTCCTGATTTAAGAGTGATTCTTTTTTACCTTTCTTTTCTATCACATACACACACACACACAACACACCACACACGTACTAAACGAATACTTTAACAAACAACATTTCTTTAGTTAAAAATTGAATCGACATTTTATAATTTATGTTGTGTTCCTGAACTATTGACAGTTTTATATAAAATAAAGGACTAAACGGTTTGTTTTCCCCTCACGCTAGCACCTGAAAGACTGAGAGACTTAAAAAGACCTGAAAGATTGAGGAAAAAAAAAAATTTATCCTTGACTCTTTCGAATCTTTTTTCTAAATATATATATATATATAATTATTATATTGGTGTGCTTCTTTATTCTTTATTCTATATTTTTTATTCTCTTGATAAAAAAAAAAAAAAAACTTGTAAAGAAAAAAAAGAAATCTTTGAGACGTATTCTTTTTTTCTTCTCTTTTCTAAATAGCTAAAATAGATAGATAATAATATATTTTTTCGCACTATCGAGAGATTCTCGACAATCCACACGATATTTGATTTACCATAAACGAAAATTACATCACAAATTTCCATTCTTAAATTAACCTGCTTGGATCCTCGATTCTTAAACAATAGTGATTACATACAACACTTGTTTACCCCGGGGGTTAACAACCTTTTTTTTTTTCTCACAAAAACTTTCTTTCCCGTCAATATTTTTAATCATATTGATAATCCGGGGTCTTTTTTTCAAGTTAATTGATAAAAAAGGGTTCGTTATTCTTTCGGTTTGTTTATACTATCCTCACGAAAATCATCAGCCTGTTTAAGATTCCGATTCCCCCACTGCCGATCTCCTTTTTTCTTCGAAATCTTCGCTCGAAAAGGTTCGTATTCATATGATTTTTACACCATGTTGTTTACATCATATATTGGTTATTCTAAAAAATTTATGTTGCACGAACCTCCTTTGTGAATTGTGTATAAATAGTGGGTGTTTGTCCTCGAACTTTTTTCCATTCAAACAAAAAAAAAAAAATATCGTTTACTTTACACCATCATGGAACACGGCAACAACGATTACTATTACTCTGCAGAGGTTTCTACTTATAATCAAAGTCTACCGACTCATCATCATCACCATCATCATCATCATCCTCATCCTCACCAACAACAGAGATACGCTCAACGAGAACAATTACGAGAACCATTACGAGAACATTTCTTTGAACAAGAATCACGACAATGTTATCATTCTCGGATGCCATCGTCGCATTTTGGCCTTCATTTAAACAACAACAACAACAATTTAAACAATTTAAACAACTTAAACAACTTAACCAATTTAAACAACTTAAACAACTTAAACAATTTAAACAACTTAAACAACTTAAACAACTTAAACAATTTAAACAACTTAAACAAATTAAATAACAACAATTTAGATAATTACAACAATAATAATAATAGTAATAATAATTATTCTCAACCGCAACGATATTCGCACCTTCCTCAAGCACAAGATTATCATCCTCAACAAAGGTCGACGTTCGACGATAGCATGTTGTCCGAGAATCCTCATCCCGTGTCACTTTTTCGATCACCATCGCGATCCCAAAATCATAATTCGTCTCCTAATCCACAACCACAACAACAAATTCAATCTTTACAAGATTCACAAAAGAAAAGTTCTTTCAAACGACAAATAATCACAGGTCCTAATACACCTCCGTTAACTCCCCCTCGTCATCATCGTCCTTATAAGAGACGAAGTTCTTCAACTTTAGTTGTTAAGAAATCCGATGGTGCGATGGTTAGTTTATTGAATGATGATGACGATTCGACCTTATCTCCAACTTCTATGTTCTCTGATGACGAATCGGTGTTTTCTTCGGTTTCTAGTTGTGGATGCTCTGATGATGGTTTGGCTTCTCATACAAATACTCAAAGACCACGTACTTCTTCAAATCCTTCTCTCACAAATACTACCACAGTAAATAAACGTAAATATATTTGTCAACATCCTGATTGTGGTAAAAGCTTTACTACAAGGTTGGTACATTATATTATAATATCTTATATTATTATAATATATATTATTATATATATTATATAGATAGTAATAATAATAAATATAAATATCATGATAGTATATAATAATATATAATAGTATATATATTATATACTATATATTATATTATTCATATATTAAATAAATTTTATTTATTTAATCTTAATATTAAATATTATTTGTTTATTATCGTATATTATTATTATTATTATTAATCAATAATGAATCAAACAATATTTTATCATTAATCAAATCAATATTTTATCATTAATTAAATCAATATTTTATCATTCTTTTCGTAGCGGTCATCTTGCTCGTCATAATAGGATACACACTGGAGAAAAAAATTTTCCTTGCTTAATGCCAGGTTGCACATCAAAATTCTCCCGTCAAGATAATATGATGCAACATTACAGAACACATTTGTCTTCTAAAAGTCGACGTGGTTCAAAGTCTGGTATTCACACTCCTCCACCTCAGCCACAAACATCTTGTCCCAATATTGAACCTCAATCAAAACGTGTTAGATGTATGTCTACACCAACTTCTACGCCTATAACATCATCATCAACAACTGTTGTTTATCATTCTTCAATGACAAACTTACCATCAGTTAGACCAACATTGTTTCAAGAACCTGTTCATTTACCTCCAATTCATTCCATGATGTCACCTGTTATCTCTTTACCTCAACCTTCTTCACATCATCATATGAGAAGTGGTAGAATAGATAACATAAACAATTCTATTGGAATGACAAATTATGTTAGCATCATGGGTTAATTCATTGTATAAAAAACGAACAAAGACTATAAAGTCATCATTTCCAGTTTATTGTAATATATATATATGTCTTTTTGATCTGTAATTAGTTTTTTTAGTCGACAATAATTAAGTTTTTAATCCTTTTCATTTATTTTTTTTTTATCTTGAACATCATTTTTTTCCTCTTTAAACAATTCGACCCATTTTTTTTTTTTTTTTTTTTTAGCAAATTCTATTCGGTAAACTCTTTATTCGGTATTAATCAATCGATAAGTCAAAGAGTTATATGCATTTACACTTTAGGAAAAATCACGACAAATTCTTTTAAAATGAACAATCAAAAAAAAAAATCAAAAAAAATATTGCATTATTAATATTTGCGTTTATTTGTATGAATTTAATATGAATCTAAATCTTTTTTTCTTTATATATTAATCAAAAAAATTTTTTTCATAGACAAAATCATAACTGATGAATGATTTTTTTAAAAAAATTTTTTTTTTTTCGAAAATACGATAAAAAAAACTTTTATAAATATAATTATAGTAATTGTTAAAAATCATAATTTCCAAAAATTGCTATCTCTTTAATAACTTGCAAACAAATTTAGGTAATTTAAACAAACGAGGGCTGTTAATAGACAAAAGTTTTAAATATTCTTTTCGATTTGCCTTGATAAAAGTGATAAAAAGATACAAAAGGCAAACAAATATTTTATTATATATGACTTTCTGTTAATACTTTTTTTTAACACTTTATATAAACATTTTTACTTTTTTTTTTTTTTTTTTTTAAGATAAACTTTTTTTCACAGGAATCTTTTTGTTTCAGTTATAGTAATTTAATAATTTTTTTAAAAAAAATCAAAAAAAAACAAAATTTTTCTATAGTAATTCTGTAATTAATTTAATTATAAAAATTAAAGAACTGCGATTGAATCGTATAAATAAATAATATTAAAGTTAAATATAAAGTGAATACATGATACAGTATACAGTATATATTACAAAAATGAACATATCACAACGATAATACCATATCGATAATATCGTATCGACAGTATCGTAACGATTAATACCATATCGATAACATCTTATCGATATAGAAAGTTAATAGAAGTCAATAAACGATCCTATGGGACATAATATTCCATAAGCGATAAGGTCATGATAGTGAATTAACGTTTGTTCCACACCTGCAGTATATGCAAGAGTTAATCACCTGACATTTATTGTACACTATAATGGGTGATTAGCATAATTTCGGGGGAAACCAACCTTCCAGAAAAGTACGACGATAAAAAAAATTTTAAATGACATAATATGTTAAGTAATCTCATTTGGATTTTCTAAACATGGTAATTAGTCCGAGAACTATATTAAAAATTTTTTATATTCATTTCTCCACAAACAATAATCTACAGTGTCGTATTGATTAACCGAGCAAATAAAGATCGAAACTTTTAATTATGCAATGTTAATTATTTCCGTGATCGGTTAGACAACATATGAAATAGGCTGTCGTCGTTAGATTTATTCAAGAAATTGATTTTACTTATTAAATCATACCGTAATAATTAACCCGTTTAGATTTATGACAACCTCGTGGTTCTTACTATTTACTAACATTTCAATTTACTTTTACTTTATTTATTTCATTTAACTTCAATTTACCATTTAAGATTACTCACTTTCTAAAATGTCTTTTAATCCTACCTATTAGGTAAATCCGGTATTTCTTTTGATCTCACACATCAAATATTAGAATGTACCCATGTACAGTAGTACCTACCTATGTACAGTAGTACCTCTATGTACAGTAGTACCTACCTACCTACCTACCTACCTATCCATATATCTATCTATGTATCTACCCACGTACTTGCGTACACACGTTCACACGTTTACATGTACAGTACGTTAGATTAAATAGTTTGTCACCTTAAAAAAACTATAATAATCACTTAATTTATATCTTAAATCTATTTATATTTTATGTAAGGTTCACTGACCATCTCGCGTGCTCTGATCTAAATAAAGCCACGCCAACCATGCACAAATGAAAATCTAATTTAGGTCAACTAAATATCGGTCATATGATATACAAGTTGATAATTTTATTAATATAAAACATAAATAATAACGATAATTTCTTAATATGTATCTAAAAATCATCCTTGTTAATGTTTTTTAATCTATCAACAAGAATTAGTAATAATGTCCTGGATTATCGGTGATTAATTTATTACTCTCCCATTCAACCATTCATTCATTCATTCATCCATCCATCCATCAATCACATGCAATTATTGAACCTGAATTTGAACGCTTTAAAGTTCACTTTCGGCTTTTCAAATGATAAGGAAATGATCTAATAATAATTCCTCAAAAGAATTTATTTTTGTTAATCTTTTTTTTTTTAATAATCATAATCATCATTTTTGTATATTAAACCACGTGTGGTTCAATCCAGGGTTAACGTAGTTTTCATACTCACTTCAACTTGAATAAGATAGATTAACCTTATTTACAAACAATTTATTTTGAATATCCAGTGATGTCGATATTCATACTGTTTTAAGGTGAAACTTTACTTTCCTCCTCTTTAAAAAAAATTTTACCGTGTTATAATATAATTCGATCTTCGTAATTTTAAATTCCCACGTTGGTAAATCGTTAATTATTATCGGTCAAAAATTTACACACAAATATTCCTTGACAAAATTCATTAACTTAAAGTAATCATTATAGAAAATGTTTAAAAATTTTTTTCTTAGTAAATAATCTTTATTATAAATACTATCAATTATAATCTTTATTATAAATAGTATTAATTATAATCTTTATTACAAATCGTATCAATTATAATCTTTATTACAAATCGTATCAATTGTAATTTCAAAGTTTTTTTTTTAAAAAATAAAAAATTCTTAAGTATTATTCTAAACTATTAATCTGATTTAAAAATTAAGCATCTCGAAATTTTTTTATAAATGCTATATACTTGTAATAATTTTGAATGTTAAATTTTTTTTTTTTGATCAAACTAAAGCTTTAAAAAAAATTTTATTTTATCGAAATTATAATTAATAAAATTTGTAATAATATACTAATAAAATTTGTAATAATATACTAATAAAATTTGTAATAATATACTAATAAAATTTGTAATAATATATCAATAAAATTTTTAACTTTCTAAAAGGCCATACAAAATTAATTGATTGGTTTTCATAACACGGCCGGGTCAAATTTTAAAAGTTTGCAAAAAAAAAATTTTTTTTACATATGTTTTAATAACCGGTACAAAAATTTTATAAAATTTATATATGAAAACTTAAAAAAAAATAGCCGGCTGGCCGGGTCTGATTAAAAGTTTCATGTTATGAAAATCAAAAGATATTAAAATTTGTATAAAAAATTTTAACCTAATTTCTTCAAGCCGGTGACTTTTGTCGGAGTTTTAAGTATTTTAGAATAAAAGCTTTTTAGTAAATCATCTAATAGATAAAATACAATAAAATATATAACAATAAATACATTACAGTATAAAAACTAATTTAATCGAGTTTTGAGTTTTAAAAAAATTTATTTCTTTTTATATATCTAGTAAGTGATTGTTTAAATTATACCATTAATGCTTTAGTATTAAATTGTATATATCTTAAATTTTTACTAAAACACATATATGGTGTTTTACACCTATGAATACATTATTCAAAAACTGGCTAAATAATTGGTGCGGGCGTTCTAAGAAAAATGTTCTATGTTCCAAAACCTTTTCTAAACACTAACTCTAACCTAAAATATTAATACTAAATACTAATCCTAAATACTAACTCTAAATACTAATCCTAACTCTAACCTTAAATACTAATTATAAATACTAATTATAAATACTAACTCTAAATACTAATTATAAATACTAATTATAAATACTAATTATAAATACTAATCATAAATACTAATTCTAAATACTAATCATAAATACTAATACTAAATATTAATTATAAATACCAATTCTAAATACTAATTATAAATATTAACTTTAAATACTAACTTAATGTGAAAATTTTTGTACTAAAAATTATATATATAAAACTTATTTCTTAAATTGTAACATAAGCAAATTTATCTGTATTAATTTTTTTAAAATTAATTTTTATAATAAAACATTTACAATTAATTTTAGCAATATACTTTTTAAGTAAAAAATATTTTTAAAAACCTATTTTATAAATTTTGTTAAAAAACTTTTTTAATTTTGTTAAAAAATTTTTAATTTATTAAAGTTTAAAAGTTATATGATATTAGTATTTATTATTAAAATATTTTTTAAGTTTTTTAAATTTTATATATTTCTAAAACTAAAAAATATTATTTTTAAAACAAGTATCAATTTTTATATATAAATTATTAAACTTATAATAATTAAAATTGTAATCTTAAAAGTGTGATAATTTAGTAAAGTAATCAGATTATTAACCCTCAAGTGACAAGTTTAAAGTTCAAATTTCAGTATTAGCAAAATTTTGAAATTCTTTTTATATTATAGTTAACTGTTTTCTGTTATTAGTTGAGATTAAATACCTGTTACTCATATTATACCAGTCTGACTAGAAGATTACATGATATTTGTGTAATAGTTATATCTTGTACAAAGAAACACAAACTGGTACCAGGCAATGTAAATCTATGATAAGTTCCTGTGGTTATATAAATTACAGAAATCAAAAAGACAAAAGCCTATTTGAAAAATCTGAAAAAGAAATAGTTCAAATTTTTAATGATGTTACTGTAAAAACTAGATCTATAAAATAGAGCTAGAACTTATAAAGTTAAACAAAAAATCAGTCTTTTAAAAAGACTAAATAAAACTAGTCAGATTACTAAAATTTCTAAATTTTGAAGAAAAAGAATATATGCTGAAGAATATGTAAACTAGAAATATAATTACAATCTACTTTTTTGAGCTATCTGGTCTAAGAGTTTGATAAAACTTAAATTAAATACCAATAT